TGGACAGATGACTAGGGAGGAGTATCAATATATTGCTCGAGAATACAGGGGAGTTATCAGGAAGGCAAAAGCACAACTGAATTGCAGCTGGCAAGGGATGTGAAGGGTAACAAGAAAGGTTTCTACTGGCATGTTAGCAAGAAGAAGGTGACCTGAGAGGTGTGGGGCCCTTACTGGATGAGGGAGGTAACCTAGTGACAGATGATGTGGGGAAAGTTGAAGTACCCAATGCTTTCTTTGCTTCTGTCTTCACGGACAAGGTCAGCTCTCAGAGAAATGCACTAGGCAACGCAGTAGGGAAGGAGGTGGGCAGCCCTCGGTGGGGAAATAAATTAGGAACTATTTAGAAAAGCTTAAACGTGCAACAAATCTGGACCCATGGATTTGTGTATCCGAGGGTACCGAGGGAGTTGGCAAATGTCATTGCGGAGCCTTTGGCCATTATCTTTGAAAACTCGTGGAGAACAGGAGAGATCCTAGATGATTAGAAAAAGGCAAATGTAGTGCCCATCTGCAAAAAAGGGAAGGTTGATCCAGGGAACTACAGACCAGTCAGCCTTACCTTAGTCCCCGGAAAAAAAATCATGGAGGGGATCTCAAGGAATCCATTTTGAAGCACTTGGAAGAGGGGAAAGTGATCAGGAATAGTCAACATGGATTCACGAAGGGCAAGTCGTGCCTGACCAATCTGATTAGCTTCTATGATGAGGTAACTGGCTCTATGGATATGGGAAAGTCAGTGGATGTGATATACCTTGACTTTAGCAAAAGTGATCAGGAATAGTCAACATGGATTCACGAAGGGCAAGTCGTGCCTGACCAATCTGATTAGCTTCTATGATGAGGTAACTGGCTCTATGGATATGGGAAAGTCAGTGGATGTGATATACCTTGACTTTAGCAAAGCTTTTGATATGGTCTCCCACAATATTCTTGCCAGCAGGTTAAGGGAATATGAATTGGATAAATGGACTGTAAGATGGCTAGAAAGCTGGCTAGAATGTCAGGCCCAATGGGTAGCAATCAACGGCTCGATGTCAAGCTGTCAGTCAGTTTCTAGCGGAGTGCCCCAAAGATCTGTTCTAGGACTGGTTTTGTTCAACATCTTTATTAATGACCTGGACGAGGGGATGGATTGCACCCTCAGCAAGTTCGCAAGTGACACTAAGCTAGGGAGAGAGGTAGATATGCTGGAGGGCAGAGATCAGGTCCAGGGCAGAAAATCCAGCCTCTCCAAGTAAATCAGAAGCAGTGTAGATTCCATAGCTTATAGAGGGTCTCTCCAAGAGCCTGCCTGCTCCTGACAGGCCCATTTTTGGCATCAAGCCTTCTATTATCTGAGTGTTTTGGCCAGCAGGACATTTCAGTATATTTAAGTAGCCAGCAATAGTGTGGCCTTTCCCTTGCTACAGGTGAGAAATACCCCCACATGAAAGTGCAGGCTGTAACAGGGATTACTCCTCGAAGTACAGCACTCTTGCACTGCAGCATGTTTTAAGCTAGGGTGGAAGTGGGGGATGAAACCTCTCCAGAGACGAAATACCGGGTACCAAACAGTCATGGGTGGATAAAAGTATGGCTTGCTGGTTTTGCAGTTGCAATTAGGTGGCTTTTACACAGACGAGCAAGGGACCACTCTTAGCTGAACTCACCATGAAAATGCAACAACAGCTGGGATGGCGGGGGCCTTTTCCGGCACCCCCAGTTTACAGGGCCACTGCAAGCAGGCGGCTCAGTCACCAGCATACATGCTGATGCGGGAATCGCGTGTAGAGCAGCAGCAGGGCTGGTCCTGCACTAGGCTGCGCTGCAGCTGGGAGGCGCAGACACGAGTACCCGGTGCATGGCAGCGCCCATGTGAGCTACGGGTAGCAGAGATCACGAAGGAGCAAACCCTGAACAGAGGCCCAGCATCCATTCGCCACCGCCACACGCGGGTTCTTACCTGATAGGCCCTGATAAGAGACTGCACTGCAAGATGGTCTTCCACTAGTTTATCTACATTGGGCTGCGCGTGGACCAGGGACTGGGCTTGCGTCAGTGTGGACAGGCTGGTGCCCAGCGGAGGGGGGCTTTGGTAAGCGGTGCCTGGAACAGCTCCAGCATTGGCATTGCGAAAGAAAATATCCCATGACTGCGGAGAGAAAAGGGAAAGGCAGAGTGAGCCACTGCAAACAAGGTCAAAAGCATTAATGCCCCCCGGCCCCGTCAGCAATAGCACTAGGCCTGATCCACAGTCCAGCTTCACCGCTCAGGGCGTGACAGATCCATACGCCTTAACGACATTGTCAAGCTGGCCTAGCCCCTACCGTAGACAAGCCTGGGGGGAGGGGGGGGAATAGGTTGCCTACCTGCCACAGCTCAGGAGCTTTCAGGTGAATTCTTCTGTCAACTAAGCTACAGCTACCCCATGGGTGGGGCATTACCTACAGTCAGCGGAGAACCCCTCTTGGCAGCTCAGGTAACGTCTGCTCTGAAGCCGCGCTGCATCTGTGCCACTGGCACGTTTCAAGGGCAGGCAAGCTCCCAAGAGCCTAGAATCTCCCACTTACATTCGTGCCTTATCTTCAGTTAGAATTTGCTTTGCTTCAGCTTCCCTTCAGCAGCCCCGGTTAGACATTTTTCCCTTCGATCATCAAATTCCTGTTCGCCACAGGGATGACGTGAGCAGTCTCAGCACCTCTTAACTGTCCCTCGGGCTACCGAGCTGGAGTTCTTCGGGTCTCCGTCTCAGGCAGGCTTTCCAAGCCTTTCATCACTCGTGGCTCTTCTCCAAACCCTGGCCAGTTGAACGTCCTTGGCGTGACACCAGAACTGAGCAGTGCTCCAGCACCAGTCACACCGGAGTCCAGCACTGAGGTAACAAACTCTTTGCTCAAGAGCAGCGGTGGAGAACCCATGACCCAGCCCAGGGCTTGCCTTGACTGAGGTTCAGCGCGTCCCCCCCCAACCCCGTGGCTGGAGCACCAGCACCAGCTCCCCTGCCGTTGAACGTCCTTGGCGTGACACCAGAACTGAGCAGTGCTCCAGCACCAGTCACACCGGAGTCCAGCACTGAGGTAACAAACTCTTTGCTCAAGAGCAGCGGTGGAGAACCCATGACCCAGCCCAGGGCTTGCCTTGACTGAGGTTCAGCGCGTCCCCCCCCAACCCCGTGGCTGGAGCACCAGCACCAGCTCCCCTGCCGCGGGGGGGGGAACCCTGAGTCTCGTGGGCTGGATCCA